TATTTTGTTATAGCATTGTTTTTTTATTACCAAGGACAATTCTAGTTTTGAGATTTATTGTGCTTAGTATTTATTCTTTTTATTAATTTTTCATACTGACAATGTAACTTCTATTCTCTTCTTTTTTTAAAAAAATATTATTTATGCCGAAATATTATTTAGAGTAACTCAGAAAAAAATATACGCTCAAAATGCATCTCAACAAGATCTCACAACTACCCTACCTAACATATTTATTAAATAAGTCAAAAGTTAAGAATTTATTCTAATGAAAATAAGGTAAGTTTTATTTCTGTTTCTTTTTCAAAGTTCACAAAAAAAGACAATAACAAAATTTTTGAAACTTGAAGAGACTTTATCATTTTATAATAATCAATTATAATACTTATCAGTGCTTTTCGCAATCAAAGTTAGCTTCTCATTGATCAAGCCATTTTAATGTTATTCAAAGTGCTAACAATTAATTTAAATATTTTATTAGCTTTTAATGATAAATATTATTATTAGTTGTAACTGACAATGTGTAAATCAATGAATTCATTTTATATCTAAGGCATTCTGTGTTCTATTTCCAAAATAAATAATAAATATATGAATTACTCAAGAATATCTAATTTTCATGATACAGAGTTGGAAAAACAGAAAATCTAACTTCAAAAGATATTGTTTGCAAATGAACGCTGTGATAAATTATTAATACATTAGGGTTAGGCACTATTTGTTGTGCTTAGAAATATTTTAAGAAGCTGTTTGACTTTGTTTCACCACAGGCTATCTATACTAACCATTTGCTACCCCAGACAGTGGTTTTTTTCAACTTTTGTTCTTTTTTTTCTTCTTTTTTACTCTGGGAATTATATTTATGAAAGTTGCATTGTGAAGTATTGCACACCTTTTAAATCACAGAAGGAAAAAAGAAAAATCAAACATCCAAAGCAATTTTTTTCCATCATTGATTTGAAAAAGAGTAATACAACACTGAGAAAAATCAGTCTCAGATGAATCATTTTTTTACTAAGATCATATAATTTTTCATTTCAAAAATAGAATGGTTATGATACAGCTTGAACATAAATGAATAGTTATTTTTAATTAAAGAAAAATTTCAATATAATTCTTAGAAGAGAGATTAAGGAGTATTGTAAAAAAATCAGAAAGAAATACAAGATACTAAAAAATAGGTAAAAAAAGAGAAAAGAAAAACGGATACTGGAAAAATTTACATTCATTCATAGCCACTAAAGGGTGTAGTTACGAAGGTTTATGAATAAAATGTTAACTAAGCTCTGTTGATTCCACTTCATTGATAGAATTCATTGATATCCTATCCTTTGATATTGTTTATTTGCATATTTTTTTTATCTTTTAGTAGATATCTTTTAATGTTGTTAGTTTAGTAAATATTATATATAATGTTTAATATATAATATCTATAATGATATTTCTTATATTTTTGCTGCCACTTTTTTTAAAAAGAAGGATAAGTATCATTAAATTAAATTTAGGACAGATGAAATGTCTCGATACACTGAATGGAAGTTTCTTATATACACTCATGGATTTCCTCTTCATACTCACTAATGTTCATTATTACCAAAAGATTACTACGCAATCTCATATGGTTTGAAGCACGCTCCATTCACTACAATATTTTGTGCTATTTTAGCTCTAAAACTGTCGAATCTAAACAACAACAAAAATTTTAAAAAATCTTTTTTTTGCCAAAGAACAAAAAATAGCAATAGTAGTTGGATAATTTCCTACTTCCAGCTTGAATTCCTGATTTGTCATCTTTTGTATGCACAATGAAAATTATTTAGTTCTTGAGAAATATATATCAATTGTCCGAATACACAGGAATCATAATGAGAATTCAAATTCATGATCAACTACTATCGCGATTATAAATAGTTTTACTACTCAGTGTATACAAAAACATGATTGCATCTCTTGACATGATCTACAAATATTTTGTTGCGAGAACAATAATAGTACTATTTATGCTACAACAGTACTACTATTTTTGCACGTAGAGTGAAACATTAACTTCCATGTTATTCTAGAATTATTTCTATTTTGTTAAAAAACTGAATGCATATTCATTTGCATCGGTACTATCAAAAGAAAAAAGTTTAAAATTTTTTATAAGTATAATATAAACTTAGCAGATTTTATAATTTCTGAAATTAGTTTTTAAAACAAATCAGAACATTTACATCAAAAATTTATTATAAGCATAATATAAACTTAGCAGATTTTATAATCTCTAAAATTAGTTTTTAAAATAAATCAGAACATAGGTCACACATATATTTAATACATTTTGTTTTTTAATTACTTATTTACTTATTATTTTAAATTTATTTGGAAAAAATATCTAATTGTGAAAACAGTTAAATTCTTATTGTAAAAACAACAGTTAAATACATAGATTAAAATATTTTTTTTAGAAATATAGGTTTTAACAACAAATTACACTAATCGCCAAAACTGACAATAAAGTAAGCTATTAGTGGTGTTACAAATGGATAGATAAATATAGGACCTTTTTTGTCACAGTCAAAGCATAATATTTATAACGATTACGAAATAAATCAAAACAGAAAACTATGATAAATAAACTGTTTCTACTTAATTATTTATCCTCACTATTTATATTATTAGGTGTAAATGTAATATTTAAAAACAAATATATATATATTTTTTATAATTAATGAAATTTTATACCTTAGGACAAAGAAAAACCAACATAAGAATAAATTCAACAATTTTAGAATTTTTAATAAATATTTTGAAAACAAAACTCGTTAATTATTTGTTCCATCTTACTTTACCTGTTTTTGTAAAAATAAACATTTTTTACAACTAGGTATTACTGAATTTGAAACTGATTTAGTAAATAGATTTAAAAATAAATCATCTGCAATTCTTGAGTTCTTGTAGAAAGTATTTCAAGAGAATATTGCGCGAAAGAAAAAGCTTGACGAAGTCCACGTATGGAAGAATGTAACAAATTCCCCATAACAGGAAAGCATTTACTGTATCGTATTATTGTATTCCACCGAAATCATTATTTTTAAACAGGCTGTCAACAAGTAAATCAATATTGTAAAACCTCTACAAGAAGGGTACTGCTGTGTTCATGAAAGGGTAATAATATACAACATAATACAGCTCTTGACACTTATGACTAAACTAGTTAAACTCCCCCCCCCCCTTTTGTGCATCAAAGAAAGAGAAATATTTCTGCATTTTTAGTGAAAATATGAGCTAGCGCATTATGTGTTAGCGAACATATTACTATGATTATTACACATTCTATACAAAAACAACGGAAATTTGTTATGTAGAAAGATTTAAGTTTTTTTTCCATTGAAAATTTCATATAGCAATTAATTACCTCCAACAATTTCTAGAATCTATCTTAGTGACTGTTTTCTTATGCTCATCACCTAAAATGCCACCGGGTAAAATTTACACGACCTGATTATAACATATGGTACCGTTTGAAATAATTACGCTAATTGATGCTTTACTAATTTACATTATATATATATATATATATATATATATATATTACGTGTGCACAAGTCTTTATTTAGCCCATTGTGAAGGGCATTTTGGTTTTGCTTTCCATTGCGCTTTTTTGGTTGTTTTGTTTTTGTAAAGTTTGTCCCCGTTGTTCTTAATCGAGCCAACATATGAACTTTTATTTTGGAAATTTTTTTCTAGTTATTTAATCGTAAATGTATTCTTTGGATAGAATTTGAATCTTTGTAGCACAGAAATTGCAGCACAAAATAATGACCAATGTTAGAAAAAAGGCTGTTTTTATAATGCTAAATAATCTTATTTGCTCATTGAGATACTTGACTCAAGGCACAAAAAGTATAATGTAAACATAAATTTTGAGTATTTTTGATCCAAAATTTAAATTTGAAAGGAGTGAAACATGTTTAAATTTGAATCACACAATATTTCTTCGAAACCTTAAAAGGATTAAAAGAAACAAATAATTATCAAGAAAAAAATTATTCAACAATCAATCACAAGAATCATTCTCGGCAACAAAGGTAAATTTTCACTTTAAAGCCTTTTTTTTTTAAATATTGACTCCTATTTTGTAATATTTGATCTAAAACAATATTTCAAAAAAGACTCATTCTTTCATTAGTTCTTTTTAAGTTATTAGTTCCTTCACTAAAGAGAAGTAATGATGCAATGAGGGATTGAAAAAAAGAATGTAATGCGGAACAAAAAATTAAAAAAAGATAAATCAATAATAATTGTAAGTCATGAAAATATTTACTAATACAAGATTTCAAAACTATGGCAATGGAAATATTTTTTTAATGTTAAAGCTTAACCGAAATATTACAGTTTACGAGAATTTTCACTTCTGCGATATCATTGAAAAGAAGGGAAAAAATAAAATTCGTTTATTATTCGCCAAAAGTGCTTAACTTCCCTTCTTGGGAAACATGCAGTTTTGAGATAATCAGCAATTTGATAACACCTGTTGCTCTTAACTATGGGCGAGTTCAAATTAAAAAACGCCTCTCTGAAAATTCCCTGAAAAGTCTGAAGTTGCTCCTTCTCCCCAAACTAATGATTTTGAGAGTTAAAGGGAACGACTTTAGTTGCCTCTTCCTGTCTCTTAACTATGGGCGAGTTCAAGTTAAAAAACGCCTTTCTGAAAAGTCCCGTATTGAAAGCCACAAATACAACGATATTGTCGGAATCATAGGGTTAAGAAAAAAATATTGATGCAACGTGTTGAAGAAGAAGAAAAAAACTTTTTTTTGCTCAAAAAAGTCGCTTTTCATGAAAACTTAGATTTTGAAAAAAAGAGAAAAAGTTTTTCCCGGAAATGTGTTAAGAATCGATCGAATTTCAGAAGAAAAATTCAACTAAACGAAGGAAAAATGACGCTCATTAAATTTGTACAAAAGCACAGTTTTGTAGAATGCTTATGTTTATTAAATTTATGACACAATGACTGACAGCCATGAGTTTTATTTTTACACAGATGTTTATTTTCTAGACTGGAAATAAATCAAGAAATTTTAAATTATAAGTTGAATCTAATTTAAAATATGTTTATAATTGTAGATGTTTATTTGTCTGAGAAATATTTTTTAGTTAAAAGAAGAACAAAAAACATGCTGCTAATGCTTGGAAAGTCACTCAGTTTTGCAAACATATCACGCTTTACTGGGAGAGCCGGGGAAACCAGGTATTTGTGGCATTCCTGGAACTTGAGGCATTCCCGGTAATTCCGGCATTCCTGGAATTTGAGGCATTCCTGGTAATTCTGGCATTCCTGGAATTTGAGGCATTCCGGGTAATTCTGGCATTCCTGGAATTTGAGGCATTCCAGGTAATTCTGGCATTCCGGGAATTTGTGGCATACCTGGAATTTCTGGAAATCCTGGAATTTGTCGTTTTTCCATTTTTCTTGATTTTTTATGGAATATAAAGGGAGTTCCAGGAAATCCGGGGATTTGTGGCATTCCTGGAATTTGTGGCATCCCAGGTAGTTCTGGCATTCCTGGAATTTGTGGCATTCCAGGTAGTTCTGGCATTCCTGGGATTTGGGGCATTCCCGGTAGTTCTGGCATTCCAGGGATTTGAGGCATTCCTGGAATTTCTGGAAATCCTGGAATTTGTCGTTTTTGTGGTTTATCTCCTTCGGACTTGTTTTGTGATGGAGTTCCTGGCAAACCTGGTATTTGAGGCATTCCTGGTATTTGAGGCATTCCTGGTATTTGAGGCATTCCAGGGATTTGAGGCATTCCCGGGAGCTCTGGCATTCCTGGAATTTGAGGCATTCCTGGTAATTCTGGCATTCCAGGGATTTGAGGCATTCCTGGTAGCTCTGGCATTCCTGGGATTTGAGGCATTCCTGGAATTTCTGGAAAACCAGGAATTTGTCGTTTTTGTGGTTTATCTCCTTCGGACTTGTTTTGTGATGGAGTTCCTGGCAAACCTGGTATTTGAGGCATTCCTGGTATTTGAGGCATTCCTGGTATTTGAGGCATTCCCGGGAGTTCTGGCATTCCTGGAATTTGAGGCATTCCTGGTAATTCTGGCATTCCTGGTAATTCTGGCATTCCCGGAATTTGAGGCATTCCTGGTAGCTCTGGCATTCCTGGAATCTGCGGCATTCCTGGAATTTCTGGAAAACCAGGGATTTGTCGTTTTTGTGGTTTATCTCCTTCGGACTTGTTTTGTGATGGAGTTCCTGGCAAACCTGGTATTTGAGGCATTCCTGGTATTTGAGGCATTCCTGGTATTTGAGGCATTCCTGGTATTTGAGGCATTCCCGGAAATTCCGGCATACCTGGTATTTGAGGCATTCCTGGTAATTCTGGCATTCCCGGGATTTGAGGCATTCCTGGTATTTCTGGCATTCCCGGAATTTGTGGCATTCCAGGTATTTCTGGAAAGCCTGGTATACCTTGCCGCTTTTCTCGATTGTCATCTATATATGGAAAGCAAATTTATATAATTTTTGTCGAAACAATTTGTAAACATGTGCAATATGCATGCTTAAATTTTATTAAGGAAGAAAATGATAAGGAAAACTAGATCATAAGATCTAACTTAATTTCAGACATTTGTTTCTAATTCCTTCATTTTTCTAGGAAATAACTTTTCCCACCGAGAACGATATTTATTACATTTTAAAGCATTAAAAAATTGTTGAGAAAAAAAAAACATGATTAAAAGCATTCAAATGATATTTTGGGCACACTAGAAATAGATGACATTTTTTAAAGAATTAGTATTAATTCATAGATTCGCACTTTTTATATAAATTAAAAACTAATTTTAAGGAATAACTAAAATTGCCGGGTTTTTCCCCTGCAATTGTTTTTTATTTACATTGTTTTTAATTTAAATTGTTCTTTATTCTTAGTATTTTTCTTTATCTATCACATTTGATTTATTTCTCTTATTTAATTCCATCAGACGTAATGATAGTCGCACAAATCAATATTTCAGAATATTTTGCTGAGAGTATGAACTGATTGACATTAATGTTGAAGCTGCGTTAGATGGGAGAATTAAATTTTTAGTCACTTTAAACAGCATTCACTCTAAGAAGTATATTTCTTACTAACTTGGATGATAACTTCCATCCGATTGGGTTAGAATCTTTTTTCGTAAGGCTAACAGTGAGAATTTTTCTTCTTTGCCTTGTTGTTATCCTCTATGCAACGTAAACACAACTTAGTTTCATTCAGTAAAACCACTTTGAAGGTAAGTTGATCCCAATTTTTTCTCCAATAATTTTTTTTTTTTGGGTGGGGGGGATTGAAGCAGTATAAATGTAGAGATAATAAATAAAATGGAGATAAAAGGGGAGATTTAATAGCACTTTAGAAGTTTTCAGATTAAAAAAAAAACGTTAATGATTAATTGGCACAAAACAATAATAAATCGTGCTGTAGTTAATGAAAAATGAATAATAATCTCATTTTATTATTTATTTCCAGTCACTTTTTACACTAAATTTAGGTAAAAGTATAAGAATTTTTTGAGGGACCTTTTCTTTATTTCTTATTAGTAATAATGCAGACAGTAGAAGTTAACTGCAGAACTTAATTAAAATATATACCTAAACGAACAATTTAAGAACTTTAGAGTAATTTTTATATATATATTTAAGGTTCAAATTCATAAATATGTATGATATAGTAACAAAAAAAAATATCGATCCAGGGATGACGAAACCAAATTGCATTGTTGTGTCTGACAAAATATCCTATGAAATTTAATTGCTGAAATAGGACGAAAGAGTTACATCTTTTGCACCTTAGACAGTGTGTTTCGTAATGATCACCCTACATATGTATTTTTCGAATCCTTGCCAAAAATGCGTTAAGAAAGCGTGCTCGTGCGTCTTTTCAAATTAATGTTTGAACGATAAAAAAACAAAAACGCTATCAAAATCAAAGGAATTATTACGAAGAAGGGTTAAAAACTTCCTTAATTGCAGGAAGAAACAGATAGGAGTTGAAAGCCAGTTATTAGGAACACATTCTAGTTTCATTAAGAAATCATGCTAGTTTTCGCTCCGCTTTCTTCACTAGTGATTAGTCAGATTTTGCTAACATTTTTTTTTTTCATCTCTTGAATAATAGTACTTCATTTTTGACAAGGATTCCGATAACATATATTTTCAGGGTGGTGATCATGGAACATTGTGCATCAAAGTTCCATTTCGAAATCTTATTTTACGCATGCATTGCTCTCATGACGAGGGTGCTGAGAAAATAAGAAATGATAATCGTATGTAAAAGCCGTTTGTTGTTTTTTTGTTGGGATTAATCATCATAAAAGAAAGTAGTGAAAAAGTGTTTTAACAAAACGGTGCAAATGTGTGTGTGTTTTTTTTCCTTAATGCATATTTATGTGAAAAAAGACTATTCTCTCGAATTGAAGAAACTTTTGAACGAGAAAACCTCTAAAAATTGCAAAATTATTCATACTTAATTCTTGTATTCAAAATTAGTAGTTATTTTGTGCTTTTCTTGGAGCATTTGTAGTGTAAAAATAAAGAAATTGCGTAAATGCTGTGAATTTTGTAAGGCAAACTTTATATACTTTGCAAATAATACTGATTTTGTTTCACAAAAATGTAATTATTTTTCAATTAGGAGAAAAAAACCTTACCCTTTGATATCGCAGCCAGAACTGTGCTGATTCCCAACACTAATATAAATAAAGATTCCTTCATTTTTTCTGAAAAAAAAATTAGCATCTATCAACCCAATTCGCAAAAATATTTTTGCTAATTTATTTAAACACATACATATTAAAATGCTTTACTTACTAATTCGGAACTTTATTGTAAATGTTTGGAAGCGACTAAATTAAAATAAAACTTACCTTTTATTTTCATATAACACTTAGGGGGAACTATTATGTAAAAGAGAAATACTCACTTTTTGTTTATTTCGCTTAGAAATCTGAACTACAAGGGATGGAAATTTCATTAAACCTGGCACAAAATATATTTTTTAAAATAAATTATAGACTTGAACAAGTAGGTTTAAATAATTTCTCTAAAACTGAAAGCGTGGATTGTAATAATGTCTGTATACGCATCTCATTATGGCATAGTGTTTAAGGCAGTGAACTAGCATTGCGTAGCTATCTTATGTGGCTGCTATTAGATTCGTAGATGAGAATGAAAGGGAGGGCAATACTGAGCCATGAAGTTTGTCAAAATTCTCATTTTTGTATTTTTTCCCCCGACTTTTGTAAAACTTTCAGGGTACTGAGAGAGCATTTTTTGGCATCTCTCTCTCAATAGAAACGGTTTTGATTTTATGGCTTCCGGAGCCCCAGATTTCTCTCCTCATGGTGTCGCTTATTATGATAACTTTGCATCTCTCTAAAAATAAGTTAGACTTTTTCTGGTTATTACATAATTAGCACATTCTTTCCGTTCATAAACATAGTTCAAAAAAACTTTCTTGGCCATTTTATTAAAAAAATACCATTTTAAACTTATAAAAATATTTTACCAGTTGGCGAAAATGACACTATAAATACTTTATTTTAAAAAGTTCAGTTTTAACTTTAATTATTAAGAAAAACATCTATCGACACTTTTTTATCTACATAATCTTTGATAACTATAACTTGGGTTAAATTTAGAATCCTGATTTTAAAATATTCCGTTAATAGCAATTTGTTCATACTTAATCATTAAGAAACATCAACCTTAAGCGCTAATTACTGAAACAAAATAATAATTTAGGTTCATAATGATATTTGAAATTTTGCAATTGCTTATAGATATTTAAATTTAAGATATTATTATTTATAGATATTTAATTTTAAGAGAATATAATTTAAAAAAAACATAAATATTTAGAATAACTACATTAAAAAATATGTTATGAAATTAGGAAAATTTTAACAAAATACTATATATTTTATTTATACTTTTTATTTACGCTTTAATTTTCTTTGACTTCATCCATTTTTAATTTTTTCGCCTGCTTTTCTTTTTGAAGTAACGAGGCGGTTTCTATTTAGATGGTGAATTTTTATAAAAGTTCTTATTGATGGAATAAACGTATTGCTGTTTTATATTAACTGTGTCATTTCGTTTGCAATTCGTTGAATCCATTCTTTACATAGTTGCTCATTTACTTTAGGGAACACGTGGAAAATTATGTTTTTTCCTTTTGTGTTTCTATCAGAATTTTTGCAAGTTGCAATCGCGCAAACTGGCATTTCATTAATAGTTTTAAATTTTTGCAAATTCACTGCAATAAAGTGAGGAAAATCATTTTATAAAACAACAAATGTCTTGGAATATGTCACAAAAAGGAATGCTCCAATATTAGTTAGAGCAAGTTAGACCGAAGGCTTCGTTCTTGAAGTAAAAGTGCGAGCTTCGGTCCACAGTGACGTCACTGGAGAAAATCGGAGGTTTGGCGAGGCGAGAGTTTCGTCAAAGGAGTGAACCAGCCCTTTGGTACCACCCCCTGAAGAAGTCAGTTTCGGTAGCCGTATTTTTATTTCCATTGTTTTCTTTATTGCTTCAATTATTCTTTCTTATGAAAGCTGCTTTGCCCGTTTCTTTCAAAGGAAGTTCTGTTATTATAGATTTAAATATTTTGTATTCTTTTTCTTAATTAATTGTAGGTAATTTTCTAACTCAGAAAATTTTCATGACCAAACATAAAAAAGGAAAGAAAAAATTAATAAAACAAACCAAGAATTATAAATAAAAAATTAATTGCATGTAGAGCAGGTTTGAACATTGCATGTAAAAGGTCAAATAGAGTTTTTGCATTTCTAAACATCATAAAGCGTACAGCTCGTTTACTATTTGTCACATCGACCACACATTTTTCATGCTAAAATTATTATTTTTCCAGTTTTTATGGGATAGATATTGATTTAAAGATTTCTGGTTGATAATTTTCGAAGATATGTTATATCGCTATATCCGAAAGCCTAACAGACGATATATCATAATATAAAATTTATTACATCGTAGTTAAGAGTATCCGTAGTTAAGAGTACCTATCAGTTTAGAGTTAAGTTAACGGTAAGTGAAATAATGTTTCAACTAGTAAAGCTAACATTGTTATCTTTACAATGCTTATGACAAAATTTTTCGTTGTTAAACAATATTTGAAATTTTTTTTTGTATAATTGCATGGCAACTTTTATGCTTTTTCTGCAATAAACTATATCAGTTGTTTTTTTATATACTATTCTATGTCTTTGTAAGTGCACTTCGTGTTTCAATAAAATATTTGATGAATGTGTTTATATATATATGCCAAATTTATGCTGTGATATTTTTTCCTGTTTAATAAATTTGATTTAAAGTTTTTGACTACCATTAAAAGAAGTTTCAGTTACAAATGTTTCCTAACTGATAATCCGGAAATACTTCTTTTCAAAAAAATGCGAAATAAGGACCGCATGAAGTTCTTAGCGTATTTTAAACACAAGATAAAGTATGCAAAGGAAAATCTATCAATGTAAAGTATGTTTTCATAAAAACCTACCCTCAAAAAAATTACGTTTACTTAGCATTTATTTTAAATTAATCACGTGCCATATCTTTCCAGAATAATATTGGGACACAACGCTTGATTAAAGGGCATAAAAAATGGTAAACTGTAAATGATAATTTTAAAAGAATAAAAATCGCAGATAATTAGAAATTTTTTTAAAAAAAAGTACTTTATGTTAAATTAAATGATAAAGTTTGCTAAACGTTTAAGTTTATTATTGGGATATTACATTTGTTAAGTTATGTATTTTTTTTAAACTCTTATTATTGATACAAAAATATAATCTAAAATTTTTTTGCGTATTAATCTAGAAGTTTAACATGAACAGTTTTGTAAAATAAATTCTTTTTAACACATGTAAACTGAATTTAATCATGAAAGAACCTACGAGGAAAAAAAGAAAATGTTTATGGACGTACTAAATATTTAAGCAAATAGTTCTAAACAAATCAATTGTTCTTTTGAAAGCTTATAAAATAATTCTCACTCAAATGAGTTCTAAGCAATTGAATCAGAAAAGAGTTACCTGGTACAGGATATTCCGATCTGAGCAGATGTTATTCCAATCTGAGCTGATACCTTGAGATGATATTCCAATGCGAAAGGTCTCATATTTATACTAAATTGTAATTTGGTCTAAATCTAATTTCGGTAATAGGAAGCCGTTAAAGAATGGCGGCTACCAGCATAGATTTGAGAAACATATTTGAAGACTATCATCTGCTTTTCAGCTATTAACACATATTATGGAATTAATGTAATATTTATGATGATTAATATAATATCAGGGATGTGAACTGAAAAGAGTTCACTTACCTTTAAAACTTGAGAATTTTTTAAAATGAATTTTTAAAATCGGATATTTATAATATAGACAATCGGATATATAGTATAGTAAAAATTTGAAACAACTTATAAGCTTCTGCAGCTATGCAAAGTACCATCTCTTATAAAAATTTAAGGTTGATTTGAGGTATTTTTGAGGTATCGAGGTTTTTTTGCGGTATATTTAAGGTTGCTGAGAAATCAGCAGTAAAAATTATACCTCGTAAAGGTTGAAATTAAGGTGTACGAGGTTGTTTTATATACAATTCAGCTTGTTTTGAGGTTGTTTAAAATTCACTTTAAATCAACCAGACTGATAAGGTGATTTTTAAGGTATACCAGGTTGATTTTCTTATACTTGTAACAAAAGAGGTATTTTTTAGGTATAAAATTTTTTACCTTATTTCAACTAAAGAGAGTGAGGTATTTATTAAGGTATATGAAGTCATTTTATTTATACCTAAGCTTATTTTGAGGTTGTTTTAAAATCACTTCATATCAACCACACTGATGAGGTAGTTTCTAAGGTATACCAGTTTCTTACACTTGTCACTTTTCTTACACTTGTAACAAAAGAGGTATTTATGAGGAATAAAAAAATCAACCTTATTTCAACTAACGAGAGTGAGGTATTTACGAGGTATTAAAAAAAACCCTTTTTTCTACTAAAGAGAGTGAGGTATTTATTGAGGTGTATGAAGTCATTTTATTTATACCTAAACTTATGTTAAGTTGTTTAAAGTACACTTCATATTAACTAGCTCACTTCCCAGAGTTCCGTACGAGCCAGCAAATGGCGTGTGTGTTGACAATTGAAAGTTTATTCGCAATTCAGTAAGTGTGTTTGACATTTATTAATTTAGTTTTACCACTTTTAATCAAATATGCTTCAATTTTCGAACTTAAATTTTTTAATTTTTGCTTTAAAAACGCGTCCTGATCTTAAATAATTTAAGTTGGAGGATATTCTTAGAGGCTATTGGTGTAGGCTTAGCAATAAGCGAGAACAATCGAAATATTTCTCATCGCTGTTTAGGGTAACTCTACTAGTGAATCGTTACAGCAGGTTACGCAAAGTATATTTTATTGTTTGTAATTTATTCAAATATAACTATTCTTTTTATTTTTCTTAAATGTATATGTTTTAATGTAGCAGTATGCAAGCTGATTAATTGAGTAAAATGTTCATAATTTCTCTTATAAATAAATCATTGAAAATTTTTTAAAATTAAAATAGCAATTTTGCTTTGAAATTCTACTATAGCTGTATGCTTATCGTTTGCTTGGATATCAGTTTCAAAGTTTATATTGTTGTTTATGAGTGATAATATGTATAATAACACTGCATTTTAAATCTGATTAGCATGCAATTTCTTTTTGTAATACATATATATATCGGGTTGTTCGGAAAGTAATTTCGTTTTTCCGACAGAATATTTAATTGTATTTTTTCGTACTCATCTTCACACTTAAGCAGCATTATCATTATATTTTTTGAGAGCTGATATAGCAAGGCTTGTGTGTGAAAAAGTTCAATTAATTCTACGCTGTAGTTCTTGGGTGGTGCCCTTTTAAATATGGAAAGCAATAAACAGAATTTTCGTCATATTTCACTTTTTTACTATAGAAAAGGTAAAAACGTTGTTCATGCCAGAAAGAAATTTACCGATGTGTATGAATAAGATGTGTTGACAGTACGCCAGTACCAGAATTGATTTGCAAAATTTCGATCCGGCAATTTTGATGTCGAAGAATCGAAGATGCACCACTTTCTGGAAGGCCCGCTAAAGCTGATAAAGACACGATAAAGGCATTAGTTGATGCAAATCGGCGAATAACAACACGTGAGATCAGTGAGAGGTTAAATTTATTAAATTCAACTGTTTATGATAACTTGAAAGGCCTGGGTTTAACCTCGAAGCTCGATATATGGGTTCCCCATGTTCTCACGGAGAGAAATTTGTGTCGTCGCGTTGACGTCTGTGATTCGCTTCTCAAACGTCATGAAAATGATCCATTTTTGGAGCGCATCATTACTGGGGACGAAAAATGGGTTGTCTATAACAATGTCAAACTCAAGAAATCGTGAAACAGAAAAGATGAACCGGCTCAAAGCATTTCGAAAGCCAATATCCATCAAAAAAAGGTGATGCTGTCTGGTTGGTGGGATTTTAAAGGAATAGTTTTTTTTTTTTACCGGATAACACAACACTTAATTCGGAAGTCTACTGTCGTTAGCTGGACAAACTGAACGATGCTCTTGAACAGAAAAGGCCAGAATTAATCAAAAGAAAAGGTATAGTGTTCCACCAAGATAATGCGAGACCTCATACAAGTTTGGTCACTCGCTAAAAGCTTTTACAGCTTGAATGGGATATCCCATTCAAGCCACCATATCATTCCCACACCCACCATATTCTCCAAATCTGGCACCTTCCGATTATTATTTGTTCCGGTCACTACAAAATTTTTTGGACTGCGAAACCTTTACTTCAAATGAAGAGGTCAAAAATCACCTAGATCAGTTTTTTGCCAGCAAAGACCAAAACTTTTATGAGCGTGGAATCATGCTACTACCAGAAAGATGGCGAAAGGTGTTGGACCAGAATGACCAATAAATAATTTAATAAAATATTTATTCATTACACGAAAATTGTCTCTCATTTCCCCCCCAAAAAACGAAATTACTTTCCGAACAACCCAATAATATATGTACCACATCGACCACGATTAAATTCGTTATACCAATTTTTTACAGTGCTGTAGGATGGTGCTTTATCGCTGAATAAAGAATTAAGTTCATCGAAGCACTCTTGTCTTGACAATCCACGTCNTATATATATATATTAATGGTGGTGATTACGGAGCAACCTACAAACCAAAATAATTTATTTTTGTGTTGTAAACCTTTTTAATATCACCATTTTATTTAAAATTGCAAATGAAATAATCTAAATTATTTTCAAATAAAATATTTGTATTTTTTAAAAATCTTAACAAAACATTTTTAATAGTCTCCTTTTAGAGAAAATAGTAATTTAAATTGCAATACATGTTTCATAACTTTGTATAAAATCTGGATACAGCACGTATTTTAAAACATTAAGCAAAATTAAGAACAGCAAAACATCTGGAGCAAAATCTTTTTATTAAAAATAGGAAAAAACTAGTAAAGGAGCAGTAAAAGTAAATTTTTTTTTCTTTTTCTTTTTTTTTTTTACAGAGCTTGCTTATCCACAGTTCCCTGATATTGCTGAGATGACCTAGAGGCTGTAAATAGCACATGTGCAGCAGCGAAGAAGAAGTGACTAGCAAGCTACTGCACAGCCTTCCCCTAGGAAATAGCTCTGAATTTATACCAAAAAGAGAAAGAAATCTCACCTAATAAACTACAGAATTTATGTAATTGTTGATAATAATAGTTTGTTAGATATTTGATAATTGAAAACTAGTAACTGTACTAGCTCACTTCTTCATGTTTGATCATAAAACTGCTATTTTCATTTCATGTTATTTTTTCGCAATTTACCCACGTTAGTTATTTACTAAGTAGATTGTTATTACTTATTAGAATACTGAGCAGAATTAAATTAAATCCGATTTCAAGTTAATATGACAATTTGTTTCAAGGTTATGAGCATTTTTATGCAGCTGTTTATAGTTCACTACTTCAAAAATTAGCGACTTTCGGAAATCTTAAATTTTTTAGAAATAAGTCAGTATAGTTTCTTATGCAATTTTAAGGTTGAATGGAATAAAATCAATTGCAAATAATAAACATTTATTGTTGAAAGTAATATACATTTTTTTTAAATTTCATCCTATGGGATGATTTTTTATAATAAAACAGATGTTTGTTACAGCTAACTATTAGTTTTATTTTGCTCGGTATTATAAGTTATATAGGAGATATTGTACTCAACTTATTTTAAAAGTATTATTTCAAATCATTCTCTCTCAGACATTTTCCTCACATAAAATTACTCACAACTTTAAAATAAATGCTCCTTATCAGCTTGTAATTTGTTCTATTCGATTGAGTGTAAAAAAAGAATAAAAATTGGCACATAACTTTAAAATTTTAATTTATTAAACGATTGTTGATTTTTGATTATGTAGATTAAAAATATTAAAATAACTATTTTTTAAGGAACTCTGATGTGATGGAGAATAACTGAAGTCCTTTTCAGAATCAGCGTCAAATGACAGAAAGTTTAAAAATATAGACTAGGTTTATTGAGTTTAAAGATTTCTAAGAAAAAAAGAACGAAAATCTAATTATCAAACTTACAAGTACCATAATGATACCAGATGTATAGAAAAATAAAAAGCGTTAAAATTGAATAAAAGGATTGGAATTATATATTTGAATTTCTGTAAATGTTGTTAATGGTAGTACTCTCTGCGTATTTTATTTTGTGGCTGTGGTACCTGTCATGCTTTTTAGCTACGAGGATTGAACAGAAATGTCAGAAGAGTAGTACTATTTATCTGAAAAAGAAAATTAATTTCATCCAGTTAATTTAAATCATAAAAAAAATTTCTAATATTTTAAAACCTGCCACTATTATTGTAAATATGACTTTCTTACTAATTCATTTTTTCGTCTTCTAGGTTCCAATAATTACAAGTTTCAACAGGTAGACGGAAGCAGTATTTAAAATAATTTTGTTGGTTTGTAAAAAAATGAAATATTAGTTTTAAATAAAAGTAATTTGAATTTCAGCTGACTAATTATTTAAATTTGTAGTCTTATAGCTTTAGAAATTCAAGCACCTTAGACAACTATCTTCT